CTCACCAAGTTGCCCAGGTAGGTCTCGAACCCGCGGGCTCAGGCAATCCACTCACCTCAGCCTCCCAAGCTGTGGGATTACAGGCTGAGCCACCGAGCCCAGCTGCATTATATCTTTTTGATGACAGCCTACCATTGAATCCCTGTACATTTTTTAAGCTTTTCTGTCCCTTTTCCTGGAGTTCCTTGTTTGGGTCCCTGTCTTCTTGTCAGAGGCCTCCTCTCAGGTGTCTGGGATGCTGGAATGGGTGCTCACAGCTGACTGATGGCTTCTGCAGACATGGGGTGGGCACAGGTTCCCGTGTTGGCAGGTCTCCTCTGTCCAACCAGCCAATTGCCCAGACCAGAGTCCTGCCTGCCTGCTGGCGCTCCTGGAATGTGGACAGGTGCGTTGTCATGGTGGAAGTCACCTGTTGCCACATAAAAATTCACTGAAGCTGAATACAGTCTCTCACTACAATACTACCGGGTACACTGATGCCACTTACCTAGTGGGGGAAACCTGTACTACAAAGGACCTGGCCTCCAAAAGATAATTCCTTTTCTTTGAGGGTACCTCCTTGTATTCTGCAGTATATTTCCAGTTTTTATTCTGCCGTTTTGCCCTGAATCTGCCACCATATTCTAAGGAAATGCAGAATAACTGTCATAATTTGCTTTGTATAGTTTTCAGTCCTTCGTGTGTGCATTGTTCTAAGATGATGGGCTTTGCAGGCACCCGCTGGAGCCCCTGTGCCTGGCTGTGTCTCCAACCTGTCCAAGCCTCATTTCCTTCCTGTCCATGAGGTGGAAATGGCTCCCTTGGGCCAGTGATGTATGCAGGAACCCTGGGCTCCTGGCAGAGCTGGCCCCAGCCAGGACAGGAGGAAGCACCAGTGGCTCTGCAGCAGGGAAGTTACCAAGGGACAGCACCGCATTCTTCTGCCCAATTTTACCTGGCTCTTTGGGATAGATTAGCTGTTTTCTGCTGCTCCTTCTCCCGGGGGCTCCCAAGTGGGGATGGGTGGTTGAAGAATTTTTTTTTGAGTTGGAGTCTCACTCTGTCACCCAGGCTGGAGTGTAGTGGCATGGTGATGGCCACCGCAGCCTCAACCTGCTGGGTTCAGGCTATCCTTCTGCCTCAGCCTTTCTAGTAGCTGGAACTATAGGTGCGTGCTACCACGCCTAGCTCATTTTTTTATTTATTGCGGAGGCGAGGTTTCACCAAGTTACCCAGGCTGGTCTCAAAACCCTGAGCTCAGGCAATCCTCTTGCCTTGGCCTCACAAAGTGCTGGAATTACAGGCTTGAGTAGCTGCACCCAGCCAGAATTTTCTTTCTAATGGGTTTCAATAGACAGCCCCCTACTCACCATACTGATAACCCCTCCCCCACCCTGAGTAGCCACGTGCTAAGTTCACACACTGGGTGCTTAGGGATGGCCACATCCTTCCATCCCTATGTCAGCCCTTGGAAGTGCCTGAACCTCTCCTGAGGGCTCAAAAGTACTGATAGGCCCAGGCTGTGGCCCCTCCTCAGGGTGGCCTCTGAGGTTGGGGTAGGCAATTTTTTGCCCTGTGAGTGGCATCGCATTTAGGGTTAAGGTCATGGCGTTTAAGAGTAATGACTGGGCCAGGCTCGGTGGCTCAGCCTGTAATCCTGTGCTTTGGGCAGCCGACGTGAGTGAACTGCCTGAGCCCGCGGTTTCGAGACCCGCCTGGGCAACTTGGCGAGACCTCATCTCGACAATAAATCAAAAAAATTAGCCGGGCGTGGTAGCGCACACCTGTAATTCCAGCTACTTGGAAGGCTGAGGCAGAAGGATCACCGGAGCCAGCAGGTCGAGGCTGCAGTGGCTGGGAGCGGCCACTGCACTCCAGTCTGGGCAACTGAGTGAGACTCCAACTCAAAAAAAAAAGAGTAACGACTGGCCAGCAACATGATGCCCATCATCAGCACCCTTTTTGAGAATCTGATGAAATCTGCAGACAAAGCCCAGAAGGACGCATGTGCTCCAGCTCATGCCCATGGGACCCATGTTCTCCAGGGCAAGGGTCCCTTCTTTTTTTCCCCTTAGAACATTGATGGGGGGAAAGAAAGAAGAACTGCACAAGCTCAATCAGTACTAAAAAGGAAATAGAACTTCATATATTTGATAAAGATGATATAGAAATTTTCAGTGTAATTCTTGTTACCATTTTCTTGAATTTTTACTCTGTGCTATGTCCTTAGCACAGCTGTTTATATGCATGACTGTGTTTAAACCTCGTCATGACCTGTAGATCCCCATTTCATAAGAAAGTAAGGCTCAGAGAGCTTGGAGCCTGGTTTGGTACCAAGGCTCCAGGGAGTGTAAGGAACTCAGTGTGCACACCTGCTATCAGCACCTCTGTGCAAGCGCTCAAGGATCTAGGTGTCTGCAGCTGAGGAGCAGCTCCTGCCTAAGGCTGCAGCATGTGGGGCCCTCCAGTTTATGCAGGAATGGAGAGTCAGGTGTTCCCCCTGAGCCCCAGGCTGGGAAGTACGTGGTGTGGCCTGCAGGGTGGAGGACGCGTCCATAGGAGCTGGTACAGCCAAAGATATGTGTTCCTGGTGCTTTCCCAGGCTCAGCTGAACCAGGCTCCAAGCGTGAACCCAAGGTGACCCCCAAGTGAGATTCTAAGGAGCCACATCTCTCCTCAGGGCCCATACTGTTTCTGCCACAGGGAGGACATTTGAAAAATCAGATACCAATTGTAGCTGACGAATGCAGAAGTCAGATGCCAGGTGTAGGTCATGGGTGCAGAAGTCAAGATCCTGAATTAATGTTTCATGGGCCTCTAGCAGAAGACAAAATCATTTCATATCACAGTGGAGAATGGTATCGTGTTTTATTGCACCCAAGTACAAAGTACCTTGACCCATTAGCTGGCAGGGAATACAGTGATATTCTGTCAGGCTCCAAAGAGCGCCAGAGAGCTCCGAGACCACAGAGCCTGACCTGCTTGCTCCCAGCCCTTTGGTAAAGGTGTCCGACCCAGGAACGCCCACTTTGTTTGGTGCTTTGATCGAGAGGAGATCCCCCCAGAGCAGGGAAGTGTCTCTCCCCCCATGATGCTGCCATTTGCTTTTCAGATTGACTTGGAAGTTCTCATGTTTAAAGAACTTTTCCTTTGGTATTCCCCCTTCTTTCCTCTGCTGTGGTTCCTTTTCCATAGGTACCTGCACCAGTCAGGGGCCCTGACCATGGAGGCCCTGGAGGACCCACCCCCTGAACTGGTGGAAGGCCCAGAGGAGGACATTGCTGATAAGGTAAGCCCTGGGTGGTGGAAGCTAGAGGGCTGGATAGAAGGCAGGGACCATGTAGACAGAGCACATCAATGGCCAAGGGCTTCTGCAGACATGCTGCATGTGCCTGGAGAGGCACCTCTGTAGCCCCTGGCCTTACCCCACATGTGAGGACAGCACAGAGGAGGTGGTGAATCATGGAGCTCACCAGACTCTCTGTACAGTCCTGACATTCTTCAGCAAGGTTCCTCAAGGGATCTAGTGGCCAGGGACAGGAAGGAAGCACTTGAAGTTGTAATGAGGAGCTAGCCGGAAGAAACACACCGCAGAAGCCCCGGTTGTCCTGTGCTGCACATGATCAGTTCAGGGGAGCAAGTTGACTCAGGCAGTGTCAGGGACACTGGTTGTCAGGGACAACCAGAGAGTCAGTCCACCAGACCAGTGGGGCAGGTAGAAGCCTGCGGTGACTGCAGAGCTAGCACCTGAGAAGTAGGCTGTGCCCTGGGGTCTTGCGTGGAGTGGGCTAGACCTGTCAGGACTGGGTGCCCTAACTGTGGCCAAGACCCCTGCTTCTCAAGGACCAGCAACCTGGCCCTCAGGAAAAGGGGAGGGGGTAGCAACACCCTTGCCCCCCCCATACTCCCCACCTCCCCTCCCATACTCCCCACCTCCCCTCCTCCCACACCCCCACCTTTTCCTGTACCCCTACCTCATTTCCCACCACACCCCCATCCGTGACATCTCGAGCATCTCACGCTTTTCCCAAGGCCGAGCCCTTTTTCTGCTCCTCCATTCCTCCTCCTTCCTCTGAGTCTGTCTGATTCTTTGTGTGCTCCCAAGGGAGAGAGGACTGACACAGGACTTTCTACCCCTCAAATTCATAGGCACCTTCATGGGCTTCGTCTGGCAGAGCAGAGGCTGCCTGTGGGGGGTCGGTGGGCTGAGCCTTGTTGGCCCCTGTGCTCGCCAGCCCAAAGGGTATACTTGGAGCCGGGCTTGGTGGCTCAGCCTGTAATCCCAGCACTTTGGGAGGCCGAGGTGAGTGGATTGCCTGAGCCCGTGGGTTCGAGACCCGCCTGGGCAACTTGGCGAGACCTCATCTCTACAATAAATCAAAAATTAGCCGGGCGTGGTAGTGTGTGCCTGAAGTTCCAGCTACTCGGAAGGCTGA